GGGCTGCAGCAAGCCGGCGGGCTCCAGCCCCCTGGCCGGCGCCTCGCCGCCCTCCGTCATGACGGCCAGCCTGTGCAGAGACCCGTACTGCCTGAGCTACCACTGCGCCAGCCACCTGGCCGGCGCCGCCGGCGCCTCGTGCGCCCACGACCCGGCGCTCAAGTCCGGATACCCGCTGGTCTACCCCACGCACCCGTTGCACGGCGTGCACTCCTCGCTGGCGGGCGCCACGCCGCCCTCGCTGGCCGGCCACCCGCTCTACCCCTACGGCTTCATGCTCCCCAACGACCCGCAGCCGCACATCTGCAACTGGGTGTCGGCCAACGGACCGTGCGACAAGCGCTTCGCCACGTCGGAGGAGCTGCTCAGCCACTTGCGGACCCACACTGCCTTCCCGGGCACCGACAAACTGCTCTCCAGCTACCCCAGCTCCTCGTCGCTGGCCAGCGCGGCCGCCGCCGCCATGGCGTGCCACATGCACATCCCCACCACGGGGGCGCCCGGCAGCCCGGGCACGCTGGCCCTGCGCAGCCCGCATCACGCGCTGGGACTCAGCAGTCGCTACCACCCCTACTCCAAGAGCCCCTTGCCCACCCCGGGCGCCCCCGTGCCGGTGCCCGCGGCCACGGGACCCTACTACTCCCCCTACGCACTGTACGGCCAGAGACTCACCACAGCCTCCGCGCTGGGCTACCAGTGAGGCCGGGCGGCGGCCCGGCCCCCTCTGCTCTCCCCCCGGACTTTTTTCTAAGAGAGTGTTCGCCCGAGGACCGGCCCGGGAGCACCGTATTTATTTCTGTTAGCTTCAAGCGGGACAGTGAATCATAAAGTGCATTACGGAGGGGAGCTCGCTAGGACCCCCGTGGATCAACCCCCTTGTAGAATATAAATAAAAAACCCGGCAACAACTCGAGGTCTTCTCTTTCCTGTTACTTTAAAACAATTGCTATGATTGTATTGTACGTTCTTATTTAATGTCTCCTTGAAACGGGAAAACAAAAAGAAAAAAAAATTGACGTGCATGTTTGTTACTAAAAAAAAAAACCCAACAAAAAGCCAACTCGCAATTTGTCAGCTATAACTTCAAATTGCAATTATTTTTAAGGTGTGTTTACCCTTGAAAGAGAATTGGTATTTTTTGTATGTATTCTGGAAGAAAAAAAAAATCAAAAAAGACAAAAAAAAAAAAAAAAAAAAAAAAAAAAAAAAAGAGCAAACCCAACCCCGATTCTATTCCAAAAACCTCATTTGCCTTATTTTGTTCTTTTCAAAGGAACACGTAACTCTTTTTAATTTTGAAGCCCGCCCGGCCAGAGGGGGTTCAGTAAGGTTTACGTCATGTACTAAAATAGACAATGTATCGCTTTAAAGATTAAAATTCCGTATATTTGATGTACCGAAAGGTTTTACTTTTTTCAACACGCTTTGACTCTGTTACCCGCACGAGGAGGTCTCGGATGGAGGCGACTGCTCCTTTTTCCTCAAGCGTTTCTTCAATTTTCATTCGAAATAAAAAGACGCGGTTTTTAGCAGAACCCCGAGGCTTTCGTTTGAAAAAGGAAAAAAAGTGGGGCAGGCTTGGATTTTTGTTTTTGTTTCCCCTTGGACAGACTGGGAGGAAGGAAAGGGCAGAGCTCAGGAACCCGCTCAACTTGTTCCCCCGCTTCCCCCCCCCCCCCCTCTTTTTTTTTTTTG